TGCGTTGATTAATGCGTAATCAGGATTTTGCGATAAATGTAAACCGGGGCGATTCGTAAATGAACTGAAACGAACATTACGAATGGTAAAATTCGCGGATCCGGGAAAAGCTCAGCTCGTGGAGAGCCCTAGCGGCGACCCACGACCCGAGCCCTCATCTCGCGCTTTTTTCTGCACCGGAGAACCCAGGATCTGAAATCGCGAAGCCTGCATCGATGAGCACACAACGAGAGAGAGAGAGAGAGAGAGAGAGAGAGAGAGAGAGCCGTTGCAACGCGCATAAATCACCCACAGCGCGGATGTAAAACCTACAGTTTTAATACGGCACATACCCCATGTACATACGCTACGTGTTTATTTTTGCCTTGCTCGCAACGTCGATTAATACATTTTAATATGATTTATATGCGGCACAACGTGGACATGAAAATCTTCATCAATTTCGTACAAAAAAAAAAAACCTCACTCCCGGGAGAAGGTATGCCGAAATAATTGGGTCCTTTGTGTCGTGATATCCCCGCGTGACGTGTCAATTTTTCTATTAAAAGCAGAAGAATGCTAATCGGCTAAAGAAACATATTTACAGAATGTTCGAAAAGTTCAAAAGAGATATATTTATATCGATAAGAAAAGCTGTCTAAATTCTAATGTCCAATTCTACCGAATTTGAGTTAATTTTGATCGTTACTATAGGCCGCGACGCTACTCAATATGTCGTTAATATAACTAAAACATTGGAGTGGTTGAACAATTAAACTCAAGAAAATATATTAAATTTGACTAAAATTTAGTCTATTATTTACCAAGTGCGTACGTTAATAGCGACGTTGTTTACCTTGAAAGTAATTATAGAAATTATTTACATTTTCAAAGTTAAAAGTAACCAAAATTGTTATTTGACTCAAGGGGATTTGGTTTTACCGTCACTCCCCTGATATCCAACTGGGCAATAATGAGCAATAATTTTGACTCTGATAATTTTGACAAAGTTAGTCGAAGGACACTATAACGGTGTAACGCCTGATCGAAAATACAGATGGATTCCCTGCTTTTCTTGGATTCGCGCGCAGTTTGATCATCGAACAGCTCTCCCCGGTTGCTATCTTCGCCTCGATGCAACTGCCAAAGCTCACGCACGGCAAGCACGTGCGTATTAATTCGCCCCCATGCACGACGTATATCGCTGGCGGGGCTGGCCCCCGCGATTTACGTGAACCTGCACGAGTCCGCGCGCTTATCAGCGGTGGGCGCGTTGTACGCATACAACATGCTTAATGTAATGTAGTGTAATATATAATATAAACGCACGGCTACCTGCAGGTTTACGCGCCCGATTATTACACTGCCATAATAGCTGGAGGCGTTTGCTTTCGTCCGAGTGTATCGCGATCAAATATTTGCCCGTACCAACGTAATGACAATATAAGATATATCGGGAAACGCGTACATAAGTAAACGCAGGTGCGGTAACTATTAACGCACATTGTTAATCGCGAGCGTGGTAACTGGGATCGTTGTTACTTTATTCGTGCGAATCAATCGGAAAGAAAAAATGAACACCGTCCGAGAAAGTATTAGAAAGGCGGTGGTTGACACAGATCGTAGTTAGGACTGTAATCTTTACAATCCGAATGATCAGAGAGAACTGAACTCTCCCGAGCGTACGCATATTAACCTCGTCATCCTTTCGCGTTAATAACAGAACGATACTTCTTTAAACTGTAATTAGACATCGATCCATCGATCCTTCTCTCATCCTTATCCGCTGTAGCGAGAAATTCTACGAGTTCTACCGATTTTCTCGATCTTTCCCTCCATATATTTTCTCCATTGTTTCGATCTCCTTTGTCTCCGATCTTCCTTATAGCGTTTGGAGTATCTTGCAAATTTTCTCCATTTCCTTCCCTTCCGAGATCTCCGATAATAGATCTCCGGGAATGAATCGAACGCACGGTGCATTCACGTGCGTTCACGTTCACCGTTCTTACATATGCAATTTCCAATGCGTGCACGCGCGGCGCACGCGCGACCATCCCCGTGCGCGCGTGCATCCGCTCGGGCTTTAAATAAACAATTTTCGCGCTAACGGCCTGGCCGATGCCCATTACGTACGCATGCCTCCCGCGGCGCCTGCATATACGCGCTCGTACGCGCAACATCGCCTATGGGGTGCTCCAAAAATCGTTTCTTTTACCTAAAAGCCCCGCTGCTCAAGTCGGAACTGGACCGTTTCCCCTCAAACGTTTCAAAGGGTATTACTCTTCTTCGGGTTTCGCACGTCCTACTTTAGGACACAAAAGTCTCTTCTCACGTACAATTAACTAGATTTCCTTCATTTTTATTGAAAAAAAAAAAAAAAAAAAAAAAAAATGCAGGTGGTGGTATTATTTGTGTAGTTGTAGAAAAAAATCTCTCCGCTCCATTAGAAATAGTTGATAAAAATTCTTTGAGGAAAGAAAGCGACGATGATTTCGGGACACCCGGTAGCTACACGCAACCTCTGCTTGCGTGTGTCACCGGCACACGCACGTGTAGCATATATGCATGCATACATACGTACGTACACACATACATACACACACACATATACGCCACGGTGAAGTTAGGTGCACGCCGCTGGATTTTCCAGGGTTTTCCCAGGGTTGCGGTAGAGCGTTGAACCGGGTGGAGGGTGGGCGACGGTATAAGGGTGGAAGGGAGAGCAGCAGCGAGCGAGCGGATGGTGGTGGCTGAGGCGGGTGAGGAGGAAGAGGGGCAGGGGAAGGATGAGGAGGTGGTGGCCGCGTGGAGAAGAGGGGTAAAGAGGGATAGATGGATGAAGGGGGTGGGAGTGAACGCGGTGAGGGAGGGAGAAACTATAATGAGTGGTGCGCGCAAGGGAGAGCGGGATAAAAAGGGGGATAGAGGGTGGTAGCGTAGGCAAAGAGGGCGGCTGGGCGGAACGGGGGAAAAAGCAGGGTTGGTGCAGGGGTAAAAAGGTTGGAAGCTGTGGCAACTGCCGTGGCGGCGGCGGCGGCGGTGGCGGTGATGGCAGAGGGTGGAAGGGGGGAACTCTGCTCGCTGCGGATGGCGGAAGAGGAGTAGAAGGGGGTGGATCGAGCACGACGGGTCAATTTGAGTATCCGGGGGTGTATGGGGATGAGAGGGGTTGGTGGAAGGCGGGAGGGCGTACGGACGCATGGTCCAGGGGCCTAAAGGCAGTAAACGTCGAAAAATCCGACCGCGTTCGGGCCGTTCGATGGCTCGGAAGAGGGTCGAAGCCGCGATCGACCATTACAACGCGCGAGTCGAGTATCGCGCGTCGTGCACCGGTGGTGCGCGCGGTGTAACGTCGAGAGACCGCACTGGGGATAGGGGTGAAACACACACGCGTATTGAGAGAGATAGAGAGAGCGAGAGAGAGCGAGCGAGAGAGAGAGAGAGAGAGAGAGAGTCAACCGAATTCATAACGAGCGAGAGGGCGAGGGAAAAAGAGAGAGACGCGGGGCTCTTTTCCGTAATTTCGGGGTGAGCCGGCAGGGTCGATTAACGGGGCCGTGATTCACCCGTTAGATCGGTAAGGAGGAAGTTCGCTCGTTCGCACGCGCGTCCGAGATCTCGCGATACTTCGATCTGTTTTCTTAATCCTCGCGACCGCAGTGGAGTACATGAGATAAGTGTAGTTCACTTTGTTGATCTTCGTGGTGATTTCTCGTCGCATGGTGGAAACTTCTTCTCCATAGTGAAAACTTTACGACGATTTCATTCATTTTTGTGAAACTGCCCGACACAATTTTGCACGCACACACACACACACACTCAACCGAATTCATAATGCAAGGACTCGCTAAGGATGTATAATGCAAGATTCTTGGTGGAGTTGTAATCATGTGAGAAAAGTACATTTATATATTTTATTATTTATGTGTGCAAGTCCCTTAAAAATGTATGTGACGCATGCTCATTTAACAACATAGGAATCGAGTTCCGTATTTAAACTAACTTTGAACCGGTTAAACTGGCCCCTTGGTTAAATGAGATATAATTAGAACATGAGGTTCGGCAAAGTTAAGCGGATACGTAATTGTGAATTGCTCATTAATTCATAAATCTTCGACGCGATTTCATTCATATTTCCACTCTCGCGCTTTCCTCCTTTTTCGCGAGTTTTATCACTTCGTGTTCTTAGTACCGCTGTGATACGTTAAGCGTAAACTAGCTCCG